AGCATTAGATTATTTTAGCATCGGGCAAGTTATATCAAACCTTCTTAACATTAAACCACTCAATTACATCTAAACTAACAAAAGCTTGATAAAAAATTTCATATTTCTTTGACATATATAAAAACGGAGACAAATTTTATCCGAGTATGCATACTCGTAGCAAATGTTGGGTTAGCAAATATTATGTTCATAGAAAGTTATATAAATCGATGCATAAGAGGAACCTGCGAGCATGGCAAGATTCATGCATGGTGGCCGGTATGGTGTAGTGGTTAGCAGTGAACGCTACCAATCGGTGGGGCCTGGACCCAGCTTCTCCTCCGCCTCCGCGTGTATTTCTGCCATGAAAAATAGCTTCTCATGAAAATGCAAACGCTTTTCGGAGCAGAGCATTTATTTATATATTTTTTTTTCAATTCTATTTTTGATTTTTCAGCTTCATATGACTCTTAAAGCGCATTTCCGCGACGCCAAAATTGCGAAATTCCAACACTTTTCTCAATTCTCAAATCCGAAAATTGCTTATTGTCAATTATTAATGAGCTAAAAGAAGAAAAACAAACGTCAATAGCAAGCAAATAAAAACAAAAAAAAAAACAAACCGAGCAAAATAGAACTGAGATGGTCGTGTAAACAGCTACAATTGGAAATTGAAATTGAGTGTCAAAATTGCTCTATTTTGGGCTCGTGGAAACAGATTTTTATGCGGACTAAAAGTCAAAATAATTAAAAGAAAATCTATTTTACGAAATAAAAAATTTAAATAAATATTTTAGCCGCGTTTTATTGAAAATCAGTTTTGTGATCAGTTTACCATTACGATTCCATGCGAAACCTCCGCTCCGCTTCGTTCAGTGTGAACATACTCTTACCCTTCTATTCATTTTATTTTGAATTATATTTTGAATGTACGTAGGTGCATATATCAAAGCTCTGCAAATTATGGGATTTTCTCCTTATTTCTTCTCAACGGCAGAAAGACTCACTATCAGTGAAAACGAAGAAAAAGCAAGCTACTCGAGAGCAATTAAAGTGAGAGCTAACTAATTTTTGAACTAAAAATATTTGCAGAGTAAATACTGCCTCATTACCGAGCGACAATTTCGAATAAGCTTCGTTGCTTTCAAACAAATATTTCTGCGAATGAGACTGTTTTTACAAGTTCTCAGTGCAATATTCCACTAAAAAAAAGATGGCAAATGCAGTTTTCGTGGTATTGCATATATGTATAGGAATGTATGTATAAAATAGAAAATGAACAGTTGGGGGCGCATGTCTGCCTCCATTTACTCTTGAATGCATGAATTCGTATTTGCTTTTGCTTTCACATAGTTTCTTTCCTTTCCTTTCTGTCAATAAATGAGAACACAAAGCGCACAGTGAAGCGCTTATTTACTCACATACATACATACACATGAATATATGTAGGTACTTAGTTGTAAGTATTACTGTGACATGTAGTACGAGAATAATACGAGTAAATACATATGTATATTCAACGAATGTGTGTTTGCGTATGTGTGTGTGTGTGTGTGTAAATGTAGCACAGTTGATTGCAATGAGTGACATTGACACGAGCCGCATGCGAATTGTATGGCAAGCAAATATACATTTTACATATATATATTTTTTGTATGCACATCTATATGTACATATATGAGTATGTAAGTATACATACATACATACATATGTACAAGTGGCTGTCACATCATTTTCTGCGCGTTGCACTTTTTTCCACTCATCCGACAATTTTTATTAAAACAACTTTTTTGCTATGTTTTTTTGCTGCTTAAGTGCAAATTTAAATACTCGTATCATAATGCAAAATAAATCTTTATGGCAAATAAGTGCCCAAGCAAAGTCAGCAGACAGCAGCATAAGCGCAGACACAAACGCGCACGTAAACATTCTCGCACAAGTGCATCAGTAATGAGTAGCTCGATGAGACCTTGCTAGGCTCGACTTTTGTATTGCGCACACTTATGTTCATACATGTGTACATATGTACGTATGTGCACAGCAGTACTGGGCTGAATTAAAAATGCTTGAAGATCCTTGAAAATGTTGCAATTACTGCTGCTACATGCCAGTGTACAACACAGCAGTTGCAACAACACAAACAAACAAAAAAAACGAAGCACAGCAAAAAACGAAAGAAAATAATGAAAAACTACAAGCAAAGTCGCGAGCAGCGTATGTTTGCTGTTGTGCGTGTGTGTATGTGTGTGTGTGTGTGTGGGTGCGCGCCAAACTACCAGCCAGCCGTCTGCCCGTCGCTTGTTGCAGGCCTTTCATGGCAACTCATTGCACTCACACGCTCCTAAACACATACATACATACATATACTAGCTGCAGCCTTTTCACTGCTTGTATTGGCTGAATCCTCAGTACATTGTTTGTGGTTGTTGTTGTTGTAGGTGTTGCAGCTTTCCGGCGCCATCACTGCCGCCATAAACATCAACATCAACATCAACATCAGCATCAGCGCCGCGTCATCACCAACGACGACCCCCCTCCGGCGGCTCACCACAACAGCTCCAACGCTCTCGCCTATCCGAGAAAGACCAAGTCAAATCATCGCCGAGTGCCTGCCTGGCTGGTCGCCGAGGCCAAGCTGCTTGATTATGACTGCGGCAACAGCAAATTTACACTTTAACCGGCAACGCATCAAGGGTTAAATATATACGCCGCTGCAGTAGGTGTGCCTGTGCCCCTTGCACCTGCTTTGCTTCTCTGGGTCTGTGCAGTTGAGCCATTTTGCTTCCGTTTTTATGCCAACGCTTATTGTGTGGCCTCATCGCCAGTTGCAGTTCTTCTCGTTACTATTGTTGTTGCTGTTTTTTTTGCTGTCCTAGTCGATTGCATTGTTCTTGACTGTTTTGTGAGCCTTTGCGGCAGCAGGAAACGCTCATTGTTTGCATGCGAACGTTTTTCGTATTAAACATTATTCATTTCGTTAGGGTTTCCTGTATTTTTGGTCTCGCTTGGTTAGTTCGTCCGCCTGGTATTATTCTGGGTATTTCCTTCGTTTTGCACTCATTACATTTTTTGTTGTAATTATTCCTTAATGAAAGTTGTGCATTTGATTAAAGGCTAAAGTGGAATGTGAAATGAAGCGAAAAACTTGCTGTTTCCTACAATTATGGCGCGCGGAATTGCACTTGAGTGCTGCTAACGTGGAAGTGATTGCATGGAAGTGGAAGCCATGTGCATGGAAGTGGAAGGGACAAGAATAAGTACTTTAAAAAATAAACCCAAACAAAGTCACGCCTGGGCGTAGAAATAAGCATGAGTTGAAGAAGAAGATGAAAGATTAAGTTTTGTTTTCAGGCCAGTCTGCAGCTCTCATGAAAAACTAAAATTTCATATAAAATGAAGCACAAGAAATGGAAAAGAAATTTTCTTTCAAATTTTCTTAAATCAGTTTGCAGCTCTTAAGAAAAAAATACTTGTAAACAAAATACAACAAGCAAGGTACTTATCCCTGGAACAGAATTAATGAAAAATATTTCTTATGATTTTTCTTAAAAACTGCGTACGGGTCTTTTGCAGTTGCTTTTCAAAAGCAACTTTTCGGGCGCTAGGCCCATTCTAATTGTCCAAGACAGGTGTGCAATTAACGGAATATTCCCTAATAATACCCTCGTAATTAAATGTAATATTAGCTGCACTAATATGTCCCGACAAAAAAAAAATGGAGAGCATCAGCGGTTGTGTAAACAAACCGACTGGCGCGACCTAAAAAAACTTTTTTTCAAAATGTTATGTGTTCTTTTTTTTATTTTATTACAAATAACAATATTTTGATGTAGCGTTTATGAATTTCCAAAAAGGGACAGTCCAGCGCCTTCGTGTTGGTTTGCAGGCTGTATCGGAGACACAGCCGCTAAATTCAACCGTAGAACACGTGGTATGGTTAAGAGCACATTCAGGTCAAAAACGGAAGCGTACACTAAGAAAAGAATATCCATAACAAAAGCGATAAAAAATCTTCTACAAAATCGATAAAAAACCGATTAAATTATCTATAACAAAATCGATAAAAAATATCGTTTATCATATCGATAAGTTCCGAAAATATCGATAGGAAAATCAATAGCAATATCGATAGACATTTCGATAGCGAAATCGATAAAAAAAATATCGATAACAAAACCAATGAAATATCGATTATAATATCAATAAGTCCCGAAAACGGAGTCTCTCAAGTCTATCTATATCGTCCAAAAACACTGATATGGGTTCATTTCCATCAAATTTTCCACCGATATTGCCATAAAACACGTTGACGGATTCACGCCGTTCTTCTTATATTTTCTTCTTCTTGAAAATACTCCCGGTTTCACTCAATAGTGCTCAATAGAGATGGATTCCAACTGACCATTTATGTATGTATGTATATAAGGGCGCTTGCGAAACTTCTCTGCTGTCCGCTGTGACCGCAGCTTTTCGACGCTGCCTGTCGACCAAGAACTCTCTAATCGCATTTTCTGTCTATCAAAATGTAATCAATTAATTAATTGTTACTTGATCAAGGGATCTCCTGGTTTTCGTGGTTTTCGTGAATGTGTAATTTTCTGACTGTAGGATCAAATATGCCATATCTCTCCACCCTAGCGTTGAAAGCGCTAAGCATCATTTCAACATCATGTCAAGCAACGCTCATACGCTTCATCTAGATGCTCATATTTAGAATTTCTCTTTGGTCTCATCGTCCATATTCTGTACATCGGTGATGTGAAGCTTAAAGATAGAGAGGTTAATTAAAGCCACCTGCTTGCTTAATAGGTAATAGTAATACGTACTTTATAACTAAGGCGTTAACTAAATTCGATGGAGCCCAGAAAAAGCCAAAGCAGATAGAAATACGCATATTTATAAATGTTACTATAAATAAATATAATTTACATTTATATATACTAAAATTTTGCATATTCATGTATTAATTAAATAAAATATCGTTTGTTCTTCTTACAGATCTTAAAATAACTAAAACGAAATTAAAAAAAAAGGATCCTTCATGAACCAAACTTACATAGCTTCGCTAAAGGAAATTTCCCAATTTACGCGCCACGCTTTACGTCCTCAAATATAAATAACCGAATTCCATGTGCAACTCAAGCGAAATAACGGCATTATGTGTAAAATTGTGCACTCACACCCAAATTTAACCAGCAGCGCAACACGGCGCGTAGGTTGTGCGAAAAGCAAAAGAAGGGCAAATTGGTCGTAAATAAAACGTGCCACATTTTCGTATTGACGCACATCCACCAGTGTGCTCTAGAGTGGATAGAGGAGGCAGGCGGAAGAGGTGATTTTCGCATAGCTAGCTACGCAAATTGCTGTCGAAGATTAAAAGGCAATCATGCTGATGGATTATCTACGTCGCTTCGGTTTGCTGTTCAGCACGCATTTGTTGCTGCTGATGTTGTTGGGTGAGTGTGTGCAAATATTCTTTATTATATCTACAAGAAAATATATAAAATATATATGTAAGTGCAAACAATTACAAATACCAGCAACGAGTACTGTACGAATGGTATATATATGCAGAAAATACTTTGCTTTAATACCGGAGGTTGTATCCAAATTTCGTTTATTTACTTTTTTTTTTTGAAAATGTAAAAGTCTAAATTTTCCTAAAAAATGTTCAGCCAAAATAAAGGCATCCATTTAGCCGTGCATAAACGTTAAGTGCGATTTTTATGCATTCTTTACGGCGGCATTTCTCTTCTTTTTTTTTACAATTTACATTTTACGACCTTTCCGGGCAAAATTGCAGTTCATAGCCGAGTTTCATAGCCTATGTATATTGACACACTTAAATGCGGTAAACATTTTTTTCTTTGAAGCTGATTTTCGTAAATATGCAAAGGCTTTCACTTGACTATGAGTTAAATATAATTTTGTATGTAATTACAGAAAAAAGTAATTTATTTCGTTGCAAAACATGACCCACAGGTATGCAAATATAAGACTGATTAAAGAATTTTCTTTAGGCTATTTCCAATCATTAAAATTTTACCTAAAAAGAATTTTCTTTACCCACAAGTGATTCTCAAACTCTTATTTTATTAAAAATTGCAATGCAGAATGCTAGTAAAAATTACCTTATAGCTAAGTTAATGACTCTATCTAGAGGTCTGTACAAGAAAAAAAAGAATTTGCTTCATAACTGATCTCTCTATAGAGTGTACGTAATTTGCTCCTACACTGCTATAATATGTCATTCTCTCGGATAAAGATGAGGCGAAACATACTTCTGGTACACACAAAATGACCGGTCAATGCAGGTTTCATTACGACATTCTTTGCCGAGCTTCTCCTCCAATTTGTGCTGTTAGAAGAAACAACTTATTGCAGTCAGAAATATTCGCAGAAATTTTCCGTTGCCAGTCGCTGTTAGAAACAACTTTTTCTAATATTTGATGTTGCTTGATCCAGAGATTGTAGCTAGGTCCTACGTAGTGTCACAAAAAACTCGAATTAAAAATTAAAAATATATTGTAAAGTCATAAGCACAAATTCCATGAGGAAAACTTAAGTGAAAGCTACCGAAAATCCAACTTCATTCTTGTGGCCCATTACCTATTTAATACTCGTAGTTGAGCAGCCTTCTACTTGCGACTAGCCTATCAATGGCTTTCTTGCTAGGCTGAATTTTTTCGAGGTTTCATTATGTGAGCTAATTTCAGCTTTCAGAGCTTTCAGATTTAGCAGCAAGACTGACCGAACGTTGGTCGATAGGCAACAGGATGGAGGAAGCTTTCCAGAGTCAACGTGAAGTCGTTCCTAGCACTTCCTCCTGGCACTCCATTGGAGTGAGCTACTTGTTGCATTCGACCAAATCAAAGCGACAAAACTCGATCTGACTACTGCTGTGTGGCACCATAGCATCAGATTAGAAGAAATATTCCAAATAACGTCCAAAATCGTTCAAAATGTATATAGGACTGACTGGTTTTTCTCACTCTCTCCTCGAAACTGCGCTTCCACATGGATTACTATCCAAGAATTCTAGCAGATATTTTATGTTTGTTAAGGTCCATTCGATATTACATGGCTTTTGTGGTCCAATTTTGGCGTTTATCACAGCCCCGCTCGAGCGGTTTAAGGGTCCAAGTAGTGTTTTCAAGGTATTTTTCATTTCTACATACTATGTTTGTTCTTTTCTCCAAACGTACTGACAAAGAGTAGATTTTTGAATATTTTTGCAGACCTCTGACGTCGTTGCTTTCACATTAATGTTCCAAATTCATAAGTACGATTTATTTCTAGTAAATTTGCTTCTTTTTGGCTTTCTTTTTGTTCCCTTTTTTTTTTTGGTTACTTTCAATTTCGTATTTTTCCAACGCTCCTCTGATTCCGCATCGTCCCCCCTCCTACATTGCCATTCGCAATCGCCTATTTTTGTGCTCGAATAATTATGGTAATTTGGTTATGGGTGCACTTCAGCCACTGGAGCAGTGACACCGGCCGACAGTCGAGCACCAGTCAGTCGGCTGGTTTTCATGAATTTTGGTAGAGCGAGGCATAAGGCGTGCAAACGTTTTGTGTTAGTTACGTCGACACGCCACTGTTGCGCCTCTTGTCGCCCTCTTTCGCCTTCTTTACTCATGTATGTAAATTTTTTAATATTTTATGTTGCTTTTGGTGCTTCAATTCAGTAGTATGCCATAATTTGCTAAATTACTTTCATCGCTCTCATTGCCCAAAGTTATTTTCTTTTTGTTGGCATTATTGTTGTTGCTGTGTTGAAAATATTACCGGTTTTAGTCTGTAATTAAATTTCGACGTTGCACGGCAAATTTCAGCTAAGAATGAAAATGAGTAAAAAAAAATGCTGAACGGAAAGAAGCAATAAAAAGAGGTGTATACCTATATATATCCGAAATAAAAAGTGCTGAATGGGGGAATTTTCTCACCTTCTGCTCCCCATTACTCGGTGTCTATTAGGCCACGGCTGGCACTATTAAATTTAGCTTTCAGACAAAGGAAATGAAGCACATTCGCTTACAACGCCATTTATACAGTTTGGCGTCGGACGAGGAACTTTTTTTATTTTTTTCTTATCGTCGCACTAATGATTGTTTTACTTAAACAATTTTCGCGCTGAATGAAAAATCTGAAAGTGTTATGACGACTCCTTATTAGTAGCCATAATATTAGCAAATTAGCACAATCCTGCAGGTCAAAGGTGGCTCCCGCGGCTACACAGTAAAAGTGAATTTTATTTAGTGCGGTGCTTTATTTAATTCTTTAGCAAGTTTTTACATAGAGTATTTAAATGTAATGTGCTGAGAAAATGGAATTATAAATTAGGATTCGAAACAAGGTTTTAGAATTAATTAAATCTAAAACTTCCGACTTCAGACGGATAATACCAGTATTGGCACAATGTTAAAAATTAACGACTGAAATGTTAATCGCGATTCTCGATTAAAATTAATTAATCGTAATCATATGTACGACTAATGATTAAATTTTATGAATCGTTAATCGCCGGTTGTGATAACGACTAATAATTTAATCATTAATCGTTAATGCAATTAAAAAGAAGATATGATTAAGTGGCCTAGTTTGCCCGAATTTGAAAACAAACAAAAGTTAGAGTTATTCGTTTGTGTTTTACGCTTATAAAAAACATATAATATTAAGCGAAGAATTTTTTCAACAATTTCTATATATCAAAAATATCCAAGCACATTTAAGAATTCAATTCTAAAATAACATTTTCTTTACCTATTCACCTTTATACAACAAAAAAAAAAGTTTTTTTTTTAATTTTACGGAATTTTCTCCTTTCCTGATACCCATATTATTATTCTACATTTTACTGAATTGTTTAAAGAATTTTTTGAATTATTCATATATTTGAATGTTCAGTTGTGTTCAGAGAGAAAATCTACTTACACAAATGCACGCAAATCCCTTCGAACCTAAAAATACTCAGTTTCAATCTTCGCAAGCATAAAATTAATAAATAAAATATTTATGTTCTAAATACTTCTAACTCGTGTGCTTTTAATTATATGAAATTATCTTAATTTATTGGACTATTCGAAAACTATCGAAACTTATTTATCGTAAAGAGAACTATGAATAGCACAATTAACTTAATAAAGAGGAAGAAGAAGAAAACGATATGTGTAAAAGAGAGAAAAAAACAAAATACGTGCAGATACAGTATTCATATATACTAAGTATAAATATATGTATGTATGTATTTGAGTCAATAAACTCCAATTAATGTGTAAATAGCTAATTAGGGTAGCATTTTATGCATAAATCGAATTTTTAATGGTCCCAAATGGGAAATGACAAAAGTTGCTTATCGTGCGGACCCCTGGTAAACTTTTCCAATAGATAAAATACAAAAACATAAAACAAGAATACCTACTCGCATAATAAACCCCAACCAACAGAGCAAAAATAGTCAACGCGAAGCTCATTATTCCTATGACCTGCAAACATGTATTTACATATCCACATTTATGTATCTCAATTTGTATGTAAACATGTATATACACATACATACATATGTATGTCCGTACGTAGTAAATAAATACATGCTTATGTACATACATCTGCAATTCGCTATGAGCATAAGTTCAAAACTTTTATTTCGTAATAATGACCGGCAAACAATGGTCGACAATGGATGTGAAAAGCCAATGAAGCCAGGCAAACAAAAAGCGCCGGAATGCGAGACGCAATGGTGGAGTAAAATCGCATAAAGTAACGGTGAACGGGAGCAACCAACAACTTTCCCATGTGTTGGTTGGCATAGCATATTGAAATGAAGCACAAAAATAGCAATAATAATCGTAAAACAAAATAAAATTTACCACTAAAACCAAATAAGAATTGTTAATAAAATTCCGACAGCAGCAACAACAACACCGAGCCGAGGAAATAGCAAAGCCACAGCACAAATAAATATTAATATAATAAAAGTTTGCTGCGGAAATGCCAGGCTAAGTTAATGGCACGAATGCTGACCTGTCAGCTATAGCTTTGTATTTGTGTGTGTGTGTGTGTGTGCATACTAGCTATTAGCGTGCTTTAGGCCATGACAACAACAGCAATAACAATAAACAAGTTCAACAAACATTGGATAAAAAAGTATTCCCGCCACACCTATTCAATGGCCGCACCTCCAGCTACACACAACTGTAAAACATAGAAAACCTGTACACAGCCAGCTTGGCATGTGTTTGGCTGTGTGACTGCAGTGTGAGCAGAGTAATGTCCAGCGCCGCGTATACGTAATGCCCAAAGTACCTAAATACGTTCGCTTAACTTTTCATTAGGCATAGACGTGTACATATGTAGATGTTTTAGCAGGGATGTTGTTGTATGTTGTGCGCCTCAGAAATTTATCGCATTTGATTAGTTTGTTAAATAGTCAATTTTTCATATTTTATCATAACTG